TCCAAAGTGTAACAGCTCAAAATCTTTTCTCAAAGTCTGACTCTTTGGGCCTGGTAACAATTTAACATACAACTAAATCTTTATGATTTACAGATGGATTGCTTGAATTATACTTTATCTTTGGTGACTCAGCTCTTCCCCACCTTTGCCACTTTGCCAGGTTCAAGTATGCTGGAAAGGAAGCAGAACTGAGTCAGGGTCAAACATGCAGAGTCTAATCATGGGGTGTGTGTGTGTGTGTTTGAGAGAGAGAGACAGAGATTTGTTTAATTCCCAAGCCAAACTCAAGATGGTCCATTGTGTTGTTGGAGGAGATGGTTACCCCATTCTCCATGATGTTTTTATTTCACAGGGCTCATCCCTGTATCAAAATATCTCACGTGTGCCATAAATATATGCACCTACTGTGTACCCACAAAAATTAAAAATAAAAGAAAGAAAGCTGGAAGGCACATTAAAAAAAAGATTGTTATTTTTTAAAGTCCCTCCCGTTGAGTTAGATAAATTATTACATATAACTAAAGAGAAAGCTGGACACCTTTTCTTCCTGCCTTCCTTTTCCCCTTTTCCCTGCCTCACCCCTTCCTTTCTTCATTTCTAATATTCTCATTTCAGCTTAAAGCGAAAGGTTGTTTAGCAGCAGGGTAGGAAGGATACCTTATATCCAACCCTCAGCTTGATTTCTTCTAGTCCTTAGGGTGACATTGACCTGGCTCTGAGGACCAGTGCACTCCAGCTCCCCGATGTGCTCTCCCGGCTGGTTGAGACCACAGCCTCTGCACAGCAGTTCACCCCAGAGCCTCCTGTGCCTGGTTGCCTTTGTCCTTCTCTCTCCTCTGTTTGGTCCCCGCTCATTCTCGTCTACCTTTGTCTCTGTCTCATGCCTCCCTCCATCTCCACATCTGCTGTTCCTCTTCTCTGCTTCTCTTTCATTCACTAATATTTTCTCCTTTTTTTCTCACTGAAACCTTGAAATTATAATATAGAATATTTTTATTCTTGAATTTAAATGGAAAAGGTGATTTGATAAATTAATTTCTTTAAAGATGTAATTGTTGCAACTTCTAATTTTTTTTCCAACAAGTTGGTGACCTTTGATGGAAACACAGCAGCATCACTGCAGCTTACAGAATTACTGCTTAGCAAATGCATGAGACATTCAAAGGGACTTCTGATCAGTTTTCTAAGTTTCTCATGATTATCTTTTTTTTTTTTTTTTTTTTTTTTTTGAGGCAAGGTTTCACTCTGTCACCTGAGCTGGAGTGCAGTGGCTCACTGCAGCCTCTGCCTCCTGGGCTCAGGTGATCCTCCCACCTCAGCCTCCCGAGTAGCTGGGACTTCAGGTATGTGCCACCACACACGGCTAATTTTTGTATTTTTTTTGTGTATTTTTTGTAGAGATGAGGTTTCACCATGTTGCCCAGGCTGGTCGTGAACTCCTGGGCTTAAGCCATCCACCCTCCTTGGCATCTCAAAGTGCTGGGATTACGGGCGTGAGCCACCACACCCTGCCTCATGATTATCTGAGAAAGAAAACATAATAAACATTGAAATGCATAAGGATCATTCGTATTTTTGTTTGTTTGAGACAGAGTCTCGCTCCATCCCAGGCTAGAGTGCAGTGGCATAATCTCGGCTCACTGCAGCCTCTGCCTCCCAGGTTCAAGTGATTCTCATACCTCAGGTTCTTCGGTAGCTAGGATTACAGCCACCCATTACCACGCCCAGCTAATTTTTATATTTTTAATAGAGATGGGGTTTTACCATGTTGGCCAGGCTGGTCTCGAACTCCTGACCTCAAATGATCCATCTGCCTTGGCCTCCCAAAGTGTTGGGATTATAGGCCTGAGCCACCGCAACACACCTGAAATGCATAATGCTCTTTCAGCAGGGTTGCCAACTCTAGCAAATGAAAATACAGGATGCCTAGTTAAATTTGAATTTCAGATAAACAAATCATTGTTTAGTGTGTGACCCATGCGATATTCGAGACAACTTTATACTAAAAAAAGTACTTGCCATTTATCTGAAATTCAAATTTAACCAGGCATTCTGTATTTTGTAATTGACTATATTCATAATATTTGTGTGTGTATATATATGTGTGTGTGATATTTGTGAGCTGGGTGTTTTTAATTTGGGGACTATTTATAGTTTCCTTGCTATTTCTCCTCCCTTATGCAGTATATAAAGTATTCCCTTTACATTTTATCCCTTGGGTATATATACTTTATTCCATTTCCTTCCAACTTTATCTTAAAAGTAGATGGGTTAAGAGAAAAACGTACCAATGTATTCAATTCTCTATCACCTCCCTCTGAAAAAGGTGTTTACTTAATACACATCAGGCAAGGGCAGCACTTTTGAACCTCTTTTAAAACAATCAGCTTTATGGTTACACTAAGTAGATTTGTTCTTAACCTCTCTCTCTCATTTTAAAACAAAATGTCTGAAATTATGAATAACTATAGTAATAGTAGCTAACATGTATTGAGCACTTCCTATCAGGCACTGTTCAACATTATATAATGGCTTAAATCACTTACACCCCACAAACCATTGACGTAGGTAGCATTAGTACCCCTACTTTGGAGATGAGGAAAGAGACACAAAGAAGTTAGGCAAATCCCAGTTTCCCATTATTAATATTTTACATTAGTATGATACATTTGTCACAATTAATGGACCCATGTTGGTATATATTATTATTAGAGCCCATGTTTCATTCAGATGTCCCCAGTCTTTCCCTCGCATCCTGTTTCTGTCCCAGGATCCCATCCCGGGTGCCGCATTTCACTTAGCCATCCTGTTGCCTTGGACTCCTCTTGGTTGTGAGTTTCTTAGGCTTTCTTGGTTCTTGATGACCTTGACAGTTTTGCACCGGACTGGTTGCGTATGTCATAGAATGTCCTTCAGTTGGGGTTTGCCTGGTGTCTCTCATGGTTAGACTGGGGTTGTGGGTTTGGGGGAGGGGGACCCACAGGAATAAGTGCTGTCCTCATCACATCATGTCAACCTTGACCACCTGGCTAAGGGGGTGTCTGTCAGCTTTCTTCATGATAAAGTTATTCTTTTTTTCCCTCTTTCCATACTGTACTCTTTGAAAGGAAGTCATATTCCTAACCCACACTTTATGGTTATTATGATTGAGCTATTTTTTAAACGTCAGCTTTATGGAGACACAATGCACATTATATAATGCACCTATTTACAGTGTACAATTCTGTGGCTTTCAGTATATCCAGAACTGTGCAAGCATCACCTCAATCTACTTTAAAACATTTTCATCACCCCAAAAAGAAACCCCATACCCATTAACAGTCATTCCCCTTTTCCCTCCCCTCCTTGCCTCCCCCAGCCCATGGCTGCCATGAATCTACTTTCTGTCTCTACAGATTTGCCTATTCTGGACATTTCATACAAAAGGAATCATGCAGTATGTGGTGTTTTGTGACTGGCTTCTCTCACTTAGCATAACGTTTTTGAGGCTCATCCATGTTCTAATATGTTTTAGTATTTCATTCTTTTTTATTGCTGGATAATATTTTATTGTATGGATAGATCGCATTTTGTTTACTGATACATCCATTGCTGGACATTTGGGTTGTGTCCACTTTTTGACTTCTATGAATAAGATTGGTATGCACATTCAGGTACAAGTTTTTACATGGATGTGTTTTCATTTATCTTGGCTAAACACCTAGAAGTGGAATTGTTGGATGTACTTGAGCTATTATTAAAAATAATAAAAAATGGCTGGGCGTGGTGGCTCACGCCTGTAATCCCAGCACTTTGGGAGGCTGAGGTGGGTGGATCACTTGAGGCCAGGAGTTTGAGAACAGCCTGGCCAACATGGTGAAACCCTGTCTCTACTAAAAATACAAAAATAATTAGCCAGTTGTGGTGGCAGGCACCTGTAATCCCAGCTACTCAGGAGACTGAGGCAGGAGAATAGCTTGAACCCAGGAGGCGGAGGCTGCAGTAAGCTGAGATCGCACCATTGCACCTCCAGCCTGGGCAAAGAGAGTGAAACTCTGTGTCAAAAAACCAAAAACCAAAAACGAAAACATAGCTGACTAGGCTGTGGGCTGTCCCTGCTTCAGTTCTCCATACTGGCTAGGAAAATTTAGCTGATTGTCCTATAAAACCAGAAAAGACCCCTCTAATCTGTGGGCAAGTACCCAAATTGCAAGAATGTTGACTAAGATGAAAGAAAACAGCTTCTAAAAGCCTGTCTACACATCCCATCCTATAAACCTAAGGCAAATAACATAGCTTATCTGTACAGAAAAAAATACAGATCCCATATATTACTAGTTTCTGTTAAAAAGTTATGATAGGAAAGTTGTCTGTCCTAAGTCTAGTTGTTCTTCAATGCGCACAAAGAGTAAGTTGTTTGTGCCACATTTTCTTTATCCATTCCGCCATAGACAGATACTTAGGTCAGTCTTGGCTCCCTATCTCGGCTATTATGAATAATGCTGCAATGAACATGAGAGTACAGATAGGACTTCAACCTAATAATTTCATTCCTGTTGTATATGTACTCAGCAGTGGGAATGCTGGATCATAAGGCAGTTCCATTTTTAATTTTTAAAGGAATCTTAATACTATTTTCCATAATGGGTATATCAATTTACATTCTACCAACAGTGTACAACGGTTCCCTTTTCTCCATCCCTTTGCCAATACTTGTTATCTCTTGTCTTTGTGATAATAGCCAGCCTCACAGATGTGGTACATACATACAATGGAAAGTTATTCAGCCATAAAAAGCAAGGAAATCCTGCCATTTGGAACAACATGGATGAACCTGGAGGACATTATGCTGAGTGAAATCATCCAGGCACAGAAGGACACATATTGTATGATCTCATTTATACATTGATATGGTTTGGATTTGTGTCCCTGCCCAAATCTCATGTTGAATTGTAATCCCCAGTGTTGGGGGAGGGGCTGGCAGGAGATGATTGATCATGGGGGCGGATTTCCCCCTTGCTGTTCTCGTGATAGTGAGTGCATTCTCATGAGATCTGGTTGCTTAAAAGTGTGTAGTACTGGTCTGCAGAATCTGCACCAACCAGCACCATGCCCATGACACTGGGGTACGGGGACATCCACGGGTTGGCACACATCATCCGCCTGCTCTTGGAATATACAGACTCAAGCTACGAGGAAAAGAAGTACACGATGGGGGACTCTCCTAACTATGACAGAAGCCAGTAGTTGCATGAAAAATTCCAGCTGGGCCTGGACTTTCCCAATCTGCCCTACTTGTTCGATGGGGCTCACAAGATCACCCAGAGCAATGCCATCCTGTGCCACATTGCCCGCAAGCACAACCTGTGTGGGGAGACAGAAGAGGAGAAGATTCGTGTGGACATTTTGGAGAACCAGTCCATGGACAACCTGGTGCAGCTGGCCATGATCTGCTACATCCCAGAATTTGAGAAAGTGAAGCCAAAGTACTTGGTGGAACTCCCTGAAAAGCTAATGCTCTACTCGCAGTTTCTGGGGAAGCAGCCATGGTTTGCAGGAGATGAAATCACCTTTGTGGACTTCCTCGCCTATGACATCCTTGACCTGAACTGTATATTTGAGCCCAGCTGCCTGGATGTCTTCCCAAACCTGAAGGACTTCATCTCCCGATTTGAGGGTTTGAAGAAGATCTCTGCCTACATGAAGTCCAGCCAATGCCTCCAAGGTCCTTTGTTTGGGAAGTCAGCTATGCCTGGGAGCCTGGAGAACACTGGAGAACAGCCCGACTCCCTGGACCAGGCTTCTTCCTTTTTCCTTCTTTCCACTCTCTTCTTTTTCCCCCAGGCCTCATTGGCTTCCTTTCTTCTAACATGATCCCTCCTGCATCGAGGCTCTTTAAAGCTTCAGCTCCCACTATCTTCCATCAAAGTCCCCTCCTAACATCTCCCTTTTTCTGCACTAACACCAACCTGACTGCTTTTCCTATCAGTGCTTGTTTCTTCTTTGAAAAGCTGGAGTGATCCCTGAGCTCCCCAGCACTGTCCTCAAAGACCATCTGCATGCCCTGCTCCCTTTGCTGGGTCCCTACCCCAGCCCTGTGTGATGCCCAGTAAAGCCTGAACCATGAAAACAAAAGTATGTAGTACCTCCCCCTTCACTCTCTTCCTCCTGCTCTGGCCATGTGAAGATGTGCTGTTTCCTCTTCACCTTCTGCCATGATTTTAAGTTTTCTAACGCCTCCCCAGCCATGCTTCCTGTAGAGCAAGCTTGTCCAACCCACGGCCCACAGGCTGCATGTGACCCAGAATGGCTTTGAATGTGGCCCAACACACATTTGTAAACTTTCTTAGAATATTATGAGATTTTGAACTCAAGATGGATCAAGGACTTAAATCTAAGATGTAAAACTATAAAAACTCTAAAAGATAACATCGGAAAAACTCTGCTAGACATTGGCTTAGGCAAAGACTTCATAACCAAGAACCCAAAAGCAAATGCAACAAAAACAAAGAAAAATAGACGGACCTTAATTAAACTAAAAAGCTTCTGCACAGCAAAGTAAACAATCAGCAGAGTAAACAGACAACCCACAGAGTGGGAGAAAATCTTTGCAATCTATACATCTCATAAAGAACTAATATCCAGAATATACAAGGAGCTCAAACATATCAGTAAGAAAAAAAAAAAAAAAGTCTCATCAAAAAGTGGGCTAGGCTGGGCGCAGCATTTGGAGACGGGTGGATCTCAAGATCAGGAGATAGAGACCATCCCGGCTAACACGGTGAAACCCCGTCTCTACCAAAAATACAAAAAATTAGCCAGGCATGATGGCACATGCCTGTAGTCCCAGCTACTCGGGAGGCTGAGGCAGGAGAATCGCTTGAACCCGGGAGGTGGAGGTTGCAGTGAGCTGAGATTGCACCACTGCACTCCAGCCTGGGCAACAGAGCGAGACTCTGTCTCAAGAAAAAAAAAAAAAAAGTGGGCTAAGGACATGAATAGACAATTCTCAAAAGAAGATATACAAATAGCCAACAAACATGAAAAATTGCTCAGCATCACTAATGATCAGGGAAATGCAAATAAAACCCACAATGTGATACCACATTACTCCAGCAAGAACAATGAGTGGATAAAGAAATTATGGTATACACACACACACACACACACACACACACACACACACACACACACCATGGACTCAGCCTTAAAAAGGAATGAAATAATGGCATTTGCAGCAACCTGGATGGAATTGGAGACCATTATTCTAAGTAAAGTAACTCAGGAATGGAAAAACAAACATCCTTTGTTCTCACTCATAAGTGAGAGCTAAGCTATGAGGATGCAAAAGCGTAAGAATGATACCGTGGATTGGGGACTTGGGAGAAAGGGCGTGCGGGATAAAAGACTACACATTGGGTACAGTGTACACTGCTCAGGTGATGGCTGCCCCAAAATCTCAGAAATCACCACTAAAGAACATATTCATGTAACCAAACACCATGCTATAAAGCCTTATATACTGAATTGAGGAGTTTGAACTTTATTCTTAGAGCTAGGAAACTACGCACATAATCTGAATGTGTGATGGTGCTGAGAGGTGTTTCAGAATGTGACCTCTAGCATTTGGCACCTGGCTTCATGATGTAGTTACTGTGTGTGAATTTCGATCTCTGCATCTGCAAAATACACTAATACACTTGTGTTTGCCTTTTAAGAATATTTTGAGAATTAAGATAATACACACACACACACACACATACACAAGTATTAGGAGATTTTTTTGCAATTTTTTTTTTTTAGGTCATCAGCTATTAGTTAGTGTTAGTGTATTTTATGTGTGGCCCAAGATAATTCTTCTTCCGATGTGGCCCAGGGAAGCCAAAAGATTGGACACCCCCGCTGTAGAGTCTGCGGAATCATGAGCCAATGAAACCTCTTTTCTTTACAAATGACCCAGTTTTAGGTATTTCTTTATAGCAGTGCAACAACGGACTAATACATACATGAAATCTGAAAAAGGCTGAACTCATAGAAGCAGAGAGTAGAACGGTGGTTGCCAGCGGCAGGAGTGCGGGAACTGGAGAGATGTTGATCAAAGTACAAACTTTCCGTGCTAAAATGAACAAGTTCTGGGGATCCACTGTGCAGGATGGGTAGTGATGGACGTATTCATTAATTTGATTGTGGTAATCATTATACAGTGTATGTGTATCAAATCATCATGTTGGACATGTTGAATATATTCAATCTTTATTTGACAAGTAAAACTTTTTAAAATGAAGAGTAGTTTCTGCCTAAGTCGTGTTGTTGAAACTCTTCTAAGGTTGCTACTATCGCTGTTAGAACTAAGTATTATTATTTATAAGGAAAATGGGAGCTAGAAAAAGGCACAGCAGCTACTGCTTTCCAAAGCAAGGGATGCATGTGCCATTTTAAGGAAGCATTAGGCGGAAGGAAAATGTAAATGATTTCACAGTTTTATGCACCAACACTTCTACACTGGAGAAGTGGGAGGGACAGAAACAAATAATGAATCTATAGAGTCTGGAATATCACCTCTTTCCATTAGCTGCTCATGGTAGGAACTAGTTGAGCTAATCGGCAAGATTAACAAATCAAAAAATATTTGATCATTTTCCTATCCTTGGTGAAATGAAATTAAGTCTGAGCAATTTGCAATAGGTAGCATTTTAACTGTTCCCTTAAAAAGGAACAGTTGATGGTACTTTTATAAAATTGCCTTTTTCCATATCTATTATTCCTTTAAAATATGATCACCAAAATTAAGCAGCACATTTTTAGGGATGGTATTTTTGCAGAGAATAAGAAAGGTGGAAATAAGTCTGTTTGTGATGCATCATAAGACACCAGAAGACAGTGGTCAACAGAAACTCCTCACATCTTCTCTTTCTTTTGTTCCTTTTTCCTTCCTGAAGGATCTATTATAGGGCCCCTCACACAACCGGAATAAAATAGCTGTTGGCTGATTGCTAACTGATTTACTTCTGTCTCCACTTACAGAAATTTGCTGACTCTTGATAGAAAAGATGCGTATTAAGCAATCTATTGAAATGCAAGTCATGGTCTGGTCATCATATGTAAGGTACAGCATAACTTTAGGGTATTGTACAAAAGAAAGTAACAGGAAATTGCTTCTTTAAAGAATGCAATCATGGGTGTACACTAAAATAAAGTCCTTAAAAATGGTAGTGGTGCCTAGACTAGTGTGTGGTTTGAAAGGAGGATTCTCTGGTTGCTATTCAGATGGCAACATCTGAGGAAACAGTCAAAGGAGAAAAACTACCTAAGGAAGAGGGAGAAAATCTCTTTTCCTGGGGACATTTGCAAGCTGACTAGACTCAACTCAGCCTGGAATGATGTAGATCAGAGTTGGTGTGCAGGGAATGCGTCTCAGGTAGGTTGAGATAATGATCATTTTAGCCCTAAGGGGAGCTGGCCAGGACTGGGGCCCACAGAGAACCAAGGGTGATTATTTGTGTCCATGGGGGCCTCTTGTATTTACCCCTATGTGCCATAAAGATATCACTTCTATCAACTCTATGATGTGAAACAGGTTGGGAAGCTCGTATATAGAGGAAGCTTGACAGAGGCTGACCTAGTTGATTATTCAGCAAGGGTTAAGGATAAAACAAATTCTCCCTCACTCCTTCTCATGAAGATGAACTATGGTACAAAAATGGCAATTCATTTTTTATTTAGCTTTAGAATTTGATTTTGTTTTTAGATTAAAATATGGGCGTCGGTAATATCTTCAGGGAGTAGGAACCAAAGGGTTTTAGTCTAGCATTAGAGAACTCAGCATCAAGTTTTCTAGCACCTAATTTAACGTGTTTCTTGGTTACTCGATTCTCATAACTGGGGTTCCACCTTATTCCCCTCTGCCTGACATCCTGTCTTGATGTTTTGCCTTGTACCCCAGAACCCCCGGAACTGAGGTCCTTCTCTTGTTCTTACAAGTCTTTTCTCCAAAGGAATGAACTTCTCTGCTCCTGAAATCAAGCCCAGAGCATTCCAGGAAGAAAAAACAACAACATCTGTAGAGATGCTGAGACAAGAACAAACATGGCGTGTGCGGGGAGCTTGCAAGTCGTTCAGCATGACTTAAGTGAAATGGAAGGTTCTAAGAAGAGTAAGCGGTCGAACTACAAAGGTAGACAGCAAACATATCATGAAAGGCCTGACCTGTCATCTTAAGGATGACATAAGGTCCTCATGCCCTCATCCTGCTGAGAGCATACTGTGGATACACAGATATTATGTATAGCATATGTAAACACAATACACATTTTAACATATTTTATTATAAAATAATGCATTTTATTATAAAATAACATACTTTATTATAAAATACTGCATGCTTGTTATAAAAACACTTGGAAAATGTGGAGAAATTTTAAGAAAAATAAAAATATCACCTGTCATCCCATTAGCAAGATAGTATCATTGATATTTTTGTGTATTTCTTTCCAGATTTATTTTGGGCACATAACACATCATTATTTAACTTATGTAGAGTGGTCTGCTTCTATCACTTAACAGTACATCTTCTACTTTTCCCATGTTGCTAAAATTCTTCCAAAACACAATCTTAATGATTATATGACATTTCATCTTAAGTAGTACAATCTATTTAGACATTTCCTTAGTATTTGAAAATGGGTTGTTTTAAATTCTTTTCTTCTTATGAATAACAGTGCAATAAGTGCCCCTGTACATAACACTTATATTCTTCACTGATTATTACCTTGGATGGTTTCCTTGCAGTAGAATGTCTGGGTCAAAAAGCAAAAACCGGCTGGGCGCCGTGGCTCAGGCCTGTAATCCCAGCACTTTGGGAGGCCGAGACGGGCAGATCACGAGGTCAGGAGATCGAGACCATCCTGGCCAACACGGTGAAACCCCGTCTCCACTAAAAAAATACAAAAAACTAGCCGGGCGAGGTGGCGGGCGCCTGTAGTCCCAGCTACTCGGGAGGCTGAGGCAGGAGAATGGCGTAAACCCGGGAGGCGGAGCTTGCAGTGAGCTGAGATCTGGCCACTGCACTCCGGCCTGGGCGACAGAGCCAGACTCCATTTCAAAAAAAACAAAACAAAACAAAACAAAACA